ATTTAAATTTAAAAAGACATGTTAGTCTTTATAATTTTTTATAAGGGTAATATATATATATATATGATAGAATCCTTAAAGATATATTATTGAGGGTTGTAGAAAAGAACAAAAAATTGTCAGGTACATTGATATAATTAAAGATATGTATAGTGACCTTAGTGAAAATGATAACAACAGATTAATGAATGGCTTACATTGGGGTTTTGTTTGAATCAATGTATGTTTGCATTTATTATTGATGAATTAGCTGAACACATTCAAAATAAGATTCCATGGTATATATATATATATATATATATATATTATTTATAGATGATATTGTACTAGTCATAACCCGTGCCTGAAGGCACGATAGAACAAAAAATTTGAGTCTTAAAAAATCGATATCATTATATTAAATAATATTTTTTTTCTTTCATTTGTTTGATTAAATCATTCAAAATTTATTTTTAACCGTTATTTTCTTAAAGATATTGACAAATTTTCTCAGAATATGTAATTCGATAAATTTTTTTAACAGATCTATACTATCATGTATGGATAATATCTTAAATAAAAATTATGTTAAATTACAAATTAATCAAATATTAAATGGTTGAGCATGCGATAGAAATGAGTGATGTGATGGTTTTGAGGGATGGGAGGATAAAATTCGACATCCTGTGTGTTTTATTATATAGATTTGTATAGATATAAGGGAAAATTTTATTCAGATCCCCTGTAATTAGGTCTAAATTCAATGACACCTCTTTCCGATTTTGAATTTTCACTATCACTCCCTATTAGTGATTGTCAGATTGCACCGTTAATGGCGATAGTTGATTTATAGAAATATTTCCAAGTATTTTATAAGGTAAATTTTATCCACACCATTTATAAGTAAACCTAACTTTAACAACATCTCTTGTAAATAGACTTAACTTTAACAACATCCCTTCTTGATTCTGAAATTTTAATACACTCCATTTTAGTTCTATTATATTAGCATTTATTTTCATCAATTTAATATTCAATTTTATCAAATTAATTTTTTTTATTTAATTTAAACTAAATTAACATATCATCTCATCAAATCAACACAAAATTAATATTTAATTTTATCAAATTAGCATTTAGTTATATTAATTTTATATTTCATTTCATCAAATTAATATTATTTCTTTAATTTAATATTAAGTTATTATTTATTTTTATCAAATCAACATCAAATTGAAATTCAATTTTATTAAATTAAAATATTTAATTTATTAAATTTCATTAATTTAAAATTTAACCTTATCAAATTAATGTCATTTCTTTAATTTAACACCAAATGAACATTTAGTTTTATTAAAACAACATTCAAATTTATTCAATTAACATTAAATTCAATCAAATTAATACTAAATTAATATTTAATTTTATCAAATTAAAACTAAATTAATATTTAAATTTATCAAAATTAAGATCAAATTTATTCAATTAATATTAAATTTTATCAAATAATTTTAAATTTTATATATAAAGTGTGATGTGTGAGGAACAGTGAGACGACGTTGTGAAGGACATATGATAGGAGAGGAATTAGAAATTGATGAGATTTTGACATTGACTTTATCAATTGTTATTTTTATTATTGAAAAATCATTTTTAATTGTAAAAACTATAAAAACTTGATTATGTAACCAAATAAGTGATAATATGATGATTAATATTATAACAAAATTATAATACAACGTTTTAAAATAAAAAATTCATTTGAATACTATAATTATTGAAATTACNGCTATAATACAACGTTTCAAAATAAAAAATTCATTGGAATAATATAATTATTGAAATTACGTGGTATTTAGATGAAACTTTCCCTAAGATATAACATATAGATATAGTATGTCTTCGATCTTTGTATTATATATATGTACAGTACAGATGTGCGTGTGATATGAACAGTAAAGATAAAGAGCAACTGCATTAGAATAGAATTTTGGGAAGACATGCGTCACAGTTTGGAAAGAAAATCATGAAAGATGAGAGTGTGAGGGACAGTCAATGTCTTAGTATAGAAAGTGATCCCTTAACATAGGAAATAAAATCAAGAAAATAATGATAAGAGTTGTAATTTGTATTTTAGGGAGAGAGAGAGACAGAGTTTGAGGGATGAGAGATCGCTTAATTGTCGGATTTGATTGGTTTGGAGAATTAAATTTAGGGATGTTAGTTTTGAAAAGTAAGAGTTTTGAGCAACAAAAAATTTTTAAGAGCTAATATGGTACGTCGGATTGAAACGTTCTGAAACGTCAATAGCTTGAGATAGTTTGAAATATCGTCGGTCGTTGGATAATGCCTTTTTTTATCTCGAAATAATCTGAACCGCTATTTGTCTCTTGAATTCAAAATCGTTCTACTTTATTATATAGATATATATCATTTATAGATGATATTGTATTAGTCGATAAAATTAAAAAATAATTTCTTAATAAGCTAAAAATATTATGAGAAGCTCTAGAAAAAAAATATTTAAGATAAGTAAGAGTAAATCTAAATATATGAAATATAATTTTAGTAAAAAGAAGAATCCAAACTGAAACATAGTAATAATTAAAAATAAAAATACAATGAAAAGTGAATAATTTAAATATTTAGGGTTTTTGATTTAAATAGAGTGGGAGATCGGTAGTGATATTACTCATAAAATTAAAACAAAATGGACTAAATGGAAGAATGCATCTTTTCTATTATGTGATAGACATAACCTTTAACTTAAAAAGAAGGGAGAATTACACCCAGATTCTTTGAAGTTTGTCATTTAATTACTCAAACTCCTGATATTTGAAATATTATATATAGAACCCTGATGTTTGTATACGCGTAACATTTAGACTCCTATTGTAAATATAATGGTTAATAAATTATACTTAGATTCTCCTAAAGTTTGTGGATATATAATCCTTAGATTCTTTAAGTTTAAAATATTATATTTAGACAAAAAATACTTCAATCAAATATTTTAAATTTTATAACCAAAATTCATGTTCTATTGTATCATTTATTGAAATAAAATCAAAAATAAAAATTTATTTTTTTCTTAAAAAATTGTAATTAGTATACAATTATATTGTCTATTAGAATTTAATTTAATGATATAAACGATCAAATTAAAATATCAAACTACCTCAATTAAATTTAAAAGATATTGCGTCAATTACAGTTTGATTCCTTGTTTATTTTTTTTTTGTTTTGTTCTAATAGATAGTATAAATATATACTAACTATGTTTTTTTTTTTAAAAAAATAAAATTTTATTTTTGATTTTATTTTAATAAATGACATAATAAAACATGAATTTTTGATGTAAAATTCATGTTCTATTATGAATAATTTAGGCTCATTGTTTGATTTTTTTAGTTTTATTCCAATAGATAATATAATTGTATATTAATTACGATTTTTTTTAAAATTTATTTTTAATATTATTTTAATAAATAATACAATAAAACATGAATTTTAGTTGTAAAATTGAAAATATTTTATATTTTATATTTTATATTTGATTGGACTATTTTTGGTTTAAATATAATATTTTAAATTTAAAAGACCTAAGTATTATATATCCATAAATTTTAGGAGAGTCTAAATGTAATTTATTAACAGATATATTTACAATAAGGATCAAAGTGTTATGCTATATAAACTTTAAGGAGTCTATGTATAATATTTTAAATATCAAAAAATTTGAGTAATTAAGTGACAAATTTCAAGAGATCTAGACGTAATTTCTCCTAAAGAAAGTTTAATAGAACGACGGTGAGATCCGCCATATTTATGGTACTAAAATTTTAAGTTTAAATAATATCGCTCATAAAATATAGTTATTTTATTCCACAACGATGATATTTTAACCAACAGCTTTAACAGCACGAGATTTTACAGCAGAGGAGCCGGACCCAACCCAACGCAAGAAACTTCTTTCTCTTCTTGCCTTATATTGACCATTGCCATTGACAATCAAAAACTCTCTCTTTCTTCTTTGTCTCTAACCTGGAAAATCTGACAAGAACAACACGGTAAGCCTCTTTATCTCTCTTCAATATCATCGTCTGTTAAAATGTTTGTTTTTTGAGAAATTTATGATTTAATGTGGTTCAATTAAGCTTAATTGGTGTTGTTGATTTCGGTTTGACTTGCGTTTTCCCCTTTTTGAATACAAATACAGGCCCTTAACTGTGAAATTGTAAGATTCAAAGCAGTAATGCGTATTTGTTTTTTTCAATTTTGTAAGGATTTATGCAGTAAAAAACAATTTTTTGTTGGGTTTTTTGAGTTATACGAAGCGCAACATCAAGCGATATTAGATTTTTGCGACAAAAAAAGTAGAAGATTGTGTAATAGAAGTTTACTTGCAAAGATTTAAGATAAACAGTTGGATAAAATTAGTAACATGGGTTGACATGGCAAGATTCTTGAAATTGGGAATAGGAAACAACATGCGACGCAGGATTATAGAATTAGAATTTATAAAAGTTAGTGGTGAGGAATTTTGGTAGTTGGAAAAGAATGGGTATTTCGTCGGATAACTGTTATTTTAAACTGACGAATACTTAGCTCTGGATCACTGTGTACAGAAATTCTTGACGGTAAGATGTCTTGGACTTTGTGTATTAGAACACGTTGATGCTGATGTTTATTGATGAAAAATCTGTATTCTAAAAGCAATATTCCATCAATCTGATTTTATTGCTCAAACAACAATTATATCTTTGTCAGGATAGGAGACTAAACTTGCTTTCAAAGCCGCATTTACGGAGCAATGGATAGTGATGATGAGTTCACTTTTTGTCAGGCAAGTTCTTAAATACCGTTTGTATTTCTAGTCTTCATTCTTCTCCTGCTAGCATGGTGTTGTATTTTATAAATTTTTGTTTGTTGTCATAACCTCTTTGTTGGGTTGCAGCAGCTCCTTATTCTTTCCCCTTATTTATGTGAAATTAAATAATATTTGGTTTTATTAGGTTAGTATGCCTGTCGACCAAGATGGTGTTGAGGCACAGAAAATAGTGCAAGACATTGGTGGAATCGATATAAAAGATGAATGTGCAGGTGGTGCTGGTATTAATCACAATCAGAATAGTGGCATCCTATGGAAAAATAAGTTACCCAGTAATTCTGGCTCGCAAAAGGATGCAACAGTTGGATCTTTGTCTTTTAATGTTATCGATGCATCACCTAACAAACAAACGAGGGAGTTTTCCAAACAAGAAGCATCAAAAGATGCTGGAAATTCGCTTAAGGCTTCACAGGAACTGAAGAATCCTGCAAGGAAGCCTGCACCACGCACCAAGGTTCCTTTTGAGAAGGGGTATAGCCAGATGGATTGGCTTAAGCTTACCCGTACACATCCTGACCTGGCAGGTACTTACCACTTAATGACAATATTTCCTTAGCCAAATGGCTCAGATTTTTGTTTTATTATCCATGTTATTCTCTAGGAAACAATGAAGAAGATGAGAATATTCAATTTGGATTACATTGTTCTCTTTATACAGGTTCCGAAACATGAATGTCACCTCATTTGAGTGACGTAGTTTGTATGAGGCTTAGAATAGTTGATGTTTTTGTTTGTCTTTTGGGTTCCGAACTGAAATATCATGGATAGAGAATTATATATCTCTTTCTCAGCAACCAAATGGAGCGTTCACATAATTTGTCTTTTTTGTATTACTGGTGGTAACATCCCATTATGTTCCATTTCTCCGATTGGTGCCTGCTCTGCTTTTTTCCTAGTTGAATAATCTCCTTTTTATATAATGAATTTCAATTTAGACTTTAAAGACTAGTCTGCCTATTTCTTGAAATATGTCTCAAGCAGTGTTGGTGGTGACCCTTTAAAACTCCTGATAAGGTCACACACACATCAAAAGGAGTGGTAAAATTAAAAAGAATAGCCTGATAACCTCGTAATGTCTGAATGTGTTATGCTTTTATGGTAAACCAATAGCTATGATTAGAAAACAATAGAAAGAAAGTATAAGAGAGGAAAAAGCGTTCTTAAAAGATACCAAAACAGTAATAAAACTAAAAGAAGGTTGCAGAGAATCATATCAACCATTCTCCTGTGCTCAACGATATTTAATCAAAAATAAGTGGAGTCCTTTCATATTCATTTGAAGTTTATGCGCATAGGGATGCCCAGAACAAGATCCTGTCCGGCATATTATCCAAAGAAGCTTCTCTATCATCAAAGATCTACTCGTTTCTTTTCAACCAAACCACCCAATCAATGCCGCTACCTTGCTTTTGCCAGAATCTCAACAGTCGATGATTAACACCAATTCACAACATTGATCACCCAAATGATCTCCACATTCACAACAATCAATTTCAGTAATGTTGAAAAAACTGAGCAATATAAGAACATGTGATCCATCCACACTCTCCTGCACTTTAACACATGATACACCATTGCAGGTTGACAAAATGTAAGATTTTGGATCATCTCGTTATTGTTAAGTTTCTATGTGTAAGTAACCATGCAAATGTTTGAATCTTCAAAGGTGCTTTGACTTCCATGTTGCATTCCTCAAGGCTCACTTTAACTTCAAGGTAAGCACCAATTCGATAAATGTTCAATTCTTCACTCCCTAGAACATAAACTATTCAAATATTACAGTACTTATTACAGTACTCAATTCGAAGTTTGAATATTGTCGGACTTTTATCATAAGTCCTTAATGATTTTTTTTCCCTTGTTGAAGATACTTTGATTTTCTGTGGCTTTTTTTTTTTAGTGTTCATCATTGTTATCAGAGGATACTAGGGCTTAACTAAGTGTTATCTTTTATAGTGGTGAAAGGAAACAAATTTACTTTTTCAAGCTTTCTCTGTATGAAAGAGCAAAATCAAACCATATTCCACATCCCCTGAAATGGTTATCCTATTTGCCAGCAACATTCCAATTGGAATCCTTGTGCTGTTTACTCTGGATTTTAGTGCACTAAATCCACCTAATGTGGTTCTTTTATATTGATATACCTAGTGCATTGGTCAACCATTATGTTTTGCTGTCTAAATTTTTTTCCTACATATTCAATTGCACATCTCCTCCTTTTAAGGCACTGATTCTAATTTGAAACTTTGTGAGTGTTTGTGGAACCTTGAATGGAAGAGCATGGTTTAGTGCTTTTTTTGGCACTCTCATGTCCTATTGCATTTATGGTATATTTTTTATGTCAGATTGACAATATACTTAATTGTATTAAGTATTGCTCCAAAAAAATAAAATCTTGTTGTATGGTAGGCATATCTAGTGGATATTCGTTGTTAATGTAATATTTTGAATCAACATGCAACCTTTATGTGTGCATGGGCTCAATTCGGGTATTGATGTGAGGGCGTGAGCGAGATGGGAATGCTTATGCTTTTATTTGCATTGCCAGCACCAAGCTGTGCACATAAGTGAACCTGAACTGATAAAATTGACTCATTTTTGTATCCCTAAAATTATAGTATAAGTGTTTGTTTAAGTATAAATACTTAAGTTACACCTTCTCTAACAGTTTAATCTTTTAGAGTAGATGGTTGTTGAACAAGGTATTAGAGCCGAAGATCTTGTGTTCGAATCCCGCCGCCGCCACCTTGATTATTAAAGGATGTCGACGTGTTAGGCCAAAATATAGTTTACACGAGGGAGTATCGAAGTATAAATATTTAAATTACACCCTCTCTAATAACTTCAACTTTTAGAGTAGATGACTATTTAACAAAGTCCATCACAAAGTATGTTATTGTGAATTATTTTTTAGCATTGAGACACCAATAGCTGATTTGTTTCTGGTTCTGTGGTTATCTTTTACCTCAGGGTTAAAGGGACAGTCAAATAGGAGGCAAATACCTATGAATGAAGTTAAGCAACATCAAGTAGAAGGCTCCCTGTGGACTGTTCTTAAAGGCCACGTTTACAATCTAGCCCCATACATGAAATTTCATCCAGGAGGTAACAACTTTATTTGTTTTGCTCAACTCCAGATAAGTAGTAAAGCATGTTATGTTCTTCGACTTTACATAGAATCTAAGAGTATTAACTAGTTCTTTCTAGTAGGGTTTGGAGTTGTTTATAAGGTTGTTAGTTGTTCTTTTGTCTCTTTATCAAGTTGTTGATGTGTACTCGATTTTGAATTGCTTTAGTTAGTCTTTTTGAAAGATGGCATTCTCCTTATTATTATTGCGAATTTAGTTATTTGCACCATTGTGTCATTTTATTATCATCTTACCATTGCTGTCAATCACAATAATATTAGTAATGATCCTTTTACCCAATTGCTAATCTGAAAGCTATGTTAATATTGCTTATCCTGGTTGCATTATATTTTATTAATACCCTTGATGGAAGAGCTGATACTTATAAGAACCACCTAATTTTGCCACCAGATCTCATTTTATTTTGGTTATATGCCTATTTCCTCATTTTCTTTGTCACATTTTGTTGCATGGATTGAAGATTAATATCAGAATGCACCAAGATTCAAAGTTATTTTTCCATTTTTGTATAATGGAACACTTAATGCATGGAATGTGGTTCTCCTAACATTAGTACGTATATGTACTTAACATCGTCTTTTAACAGAGGATTTTCTTTAGTCACTTATTAGTGTAGGAGGAAGTGTACTTAATCTTTAAATTACTTATGTGGTGGTCATTATGAACCATCACGTGATCTAGATGTTAGTCTTGAGTTTGGGTAGGTTCAGTTAGATTTCATTTAGGCCTATTCTTATTTTCTCTTGTCTTCTATTAGGTTAGAGATCCAAGATATTTCAATATTTGAATCTAATTGGCAAGGCAGATTTGGTTTTCGCAAAAGCAATGTACAACTAGGGAGAGTAGATGGTAGAATTTTTCTCAATTGTATATGCTTTGGGAATAGGGCCACCCTTATCCTATATGGCTTAACAGCAGGCCTTTTGAAAATTGGTTAATACCGTATTTTTCCTATATATCCTATACCATATATGGTATATGAACGTAAACAGATGCATACATACCTTGTATTAATATACGTCAAAGGAATATCAATACCAAACCTAATGTTTATAACCATTGTGTATCAACTGAATTAAATTTCTTATCTAGTCTATTTGTGCTGTTTACAGCAGTCTTATTTTTTTAAAATCCCTATGTTTGAATCTTCTACTAGATATTTTTGTGCCAATTGCAATTGGACTAGCTAGTTTGAGTAGGGCATGATGGTTTCCCAGCAGGCATATTTTCCTACAGATAAATAGGGGGCTCGGATCTTCTGTAAGAGGGTGAGGGTGGGTGATAAAGGGCAGTGCTAGACGGAAAGAAAAGAGTTTTCTTTGCGACACTTTCACTAAGATCCTATGTGAGAATGGGCCACTATAAATGGAATAAGAATATCACATCACTGTGAATGAGGTCTAGTGCCCTGGGTTACCATCGAAAAAGGGCAACTAAACAAGGTGGGAATAAATTATAACAAATGGGTAGGACAACCAAGGGCAATTTAATCGCTGATAATTAGTATACTTTCTGAGTAGGAGGGTCCCATTGGCTTGCATGCAGTGCTTTCTATTTGACTCAGACCATCATTATGTGCACTTCATTGGTCTATTGAGTGTTCAACTTATCATAAGAGGTTCCTTTCCTTTTATAACCTTCCTCAAGTGGTGCCACAGTTACCTATTTGCAATTGCATTAATTTCCATAAGTCAAAGCTAGCGTGAAGCCTTATTAAGTAAATCCGCTTATAAGTGTCCCATACTCGCATGGGCCACTGGGATGGTTCTGTTGCTATTTGGCAGAGTTCTTTACCAGGTTTCATTGGATTACTTGTTTTATAGCAACCTGTGTCATGTTTCCCATTCTTAAAAGAGATAAAAGTTTTTAAATATTTCCAGTTGATCTTACTGGCAATTTTTGTATGGTGGAAAGTGGGTGGATGAAATATAGAGAGAGGAAAATGGCATGGAAAAATGTTTTTTCCTCGTTTGGTTCAAGAGGAAAGTACAAGGGAAAGGAAAGTGGGATGGATTGGTTTTGGGGATTTTACCACTAAAAGGTCTTGCCAGACATATATTGTGATTTAAAAATTGTAGTATGGTCAACCATGACAGAATTGACTTTTTGAGATGATTAAGCCAAGAAATGATTGTACAATGGGAAGGTTTTAGTTTTGCCGTTGTTTAAAGATAATGAGGGTCAGATTTAAAATTTTTGGGTTAATTACAATTTGCCCCCTCCAATTATGCCTCTTGTTGCAATCAAATCTCTTGTTTTAAATGTTGCAATTTGTCCCCTTCAAGTTTCCAAGTTTCAAGCAGACTAAATTGACGACAATAGTGGTTGGAACATGAAAGTACCGTTACACTCTCCATCTTGTATATCATTTCTCTTTTTTTTTTCTCTAAATATCAATTCTATCCCTAGTAAACACGAAAATGAAAAAGCCAAGAAAAAAATACATCTGTTCAGTCTAGCACCAACNTTTTTTTTTTTCTCTAAATATCAATTCTATCCCTAATAAACACGAAAATGAAAAAGCCAAGAAAAAAATACATCTGTTCAGTCTAGCACCAACATATTGCACAACACCATGTTCGCCTCTACCTCCACCCAACACCAACGTGCACGCACACACATACACACTCTTTTTAGGGGTAAGTGTGTCTTTTCAACAAAGTAGAGACCACATGAATATCTCAATTCTAACCTAAGTTATTTTTTGTGGTTTAAAATTAACTGTTGGAGTTAATTGCAAAATATTCAAACTTAAAGGGGACCATTGTTGAAATTAAAACTTGAAAGGGTGAATCACAAACTACCCAAAGTTGAAGGGTGTATTTTGTAATTAACCCTTAAATTTGTTGAAAATGGATCATTTGAATCAAATACATTGTACTCTAGATTCAACTTGTTCCCTCTCTCTCTCTCTATCTCTCTTGCAATTTTGGGTTGATGTGTCTTCTGTTCAAATAGACTGGAATTATATAGGATGTTTACAAGAGTAGCACTTAGATGCCACAATTGGCCTATCTAAAGTCTGTTGACGTTCTGGGTACTATCTTCGGTTGAAGGTTTCTGGTTCTTACACTGCAATGGCTTCAGGGTTCTTAAATTTTTTTGAAGGGAAATAGGTGGGTCAGATTTCACTAAAATATTTTCAATCAAAGTTTTCCAATCAACATTTTCTGATTTTGTTGTTATGGTGCTTGGGTTTTGATCTGTTCTTTAGGATTTATTTGTCTTTTAAGTTTTTTTGTCAGGTTATATGCTGGGTAACTCCACTCTCTCTCTCTGTGTTTATGTTGCAATATGTTTTTATGAGCTCAGTGAGGGTTTTTAGCTTTGATTGTTTTGAAACTCAACTATAATTGCTGAGTTTGTTTCCCAGTAAGATTTTTAGTTGGTTATGCAATGTCATCAACACTGTGTATACAGACACACAGTTTGGCATTTACAATTTGTTTCTGTCAATGCATCTACTCCATCGTACCTCACTTGATATAAACATATGCCTGCTCTTTGGTAATTTTTTTTCAGGTGTTGATATTTTAATGAAGGCCGTCGGAAAAGATTGCACCTCTTTATTCAGTATCCTTTGATAGCTTTAACTAGTGCAGTAGTTTTAGTAATTCATAGTAGAAAGTAACTGTTGTTTTCTTTGACCCTACTATAAATCCCTGTTAATATTTCATAATTGCTTAGGCTTGACCATTTGTCTACGCTCACGCACACCTCTATAGAACCTTATATGTGATTCCTATCTAGGATGTCTGTCTGGGAAAACAGTCTAATTGTTAGGTTATTCTACAACTTTATTATTTTATCTTGTGTATCGTATAGCTGGATAATTTGCATAGCTGGATAATTTGCATCCTTAAAGTAGCTCTAGAAAGGAGGACCTAGTTTTATTGAATTTGGCTGCTGCAGGCTCATACACAGTTTCATGGACTGCTAGGGATGATGATTTGAATACACCGCATCTTTAGAGCATAAAAACTGGGGTTATGACTCAAGTACGTGAAGAATAAGCTTATGAGACTGTAGAAGCAACCAAAATGGCTCTGTCCATAGCAATTCTTTCGACAAACTAGATTGTCAAAATCTCACACTTATTTGTGTACTAATTATTTCCCATGTTAGGCATCACTTCTTCTGGGTCAGTCATCTGTATGTGAGAGCATTTCTTTGCCAAAGGGCTGAATAAAGTGTGCCTCATTTCACATGATCAGATGGAAGTTTCTCGGGGCGCAACTTTTGCAAGTCAACTCGAGTCTTAACCTAAAATCTTCAGTTGACAGTGATTTCCAATACTTGGCCTGGGATTTTTGTAGGAAATCTAGTTAGAGATAAAACTGCCCTTAAGAATGATGGCATAGGGAGACTTATAAGGGAACCAACCTAACCCTAACCCAGGTGAATTCTAGTTCAACCCAAATGACGCTAGAAATTTCAATTCGATTTGTGTAACCTAGGAATCATNCCTTAAGAATGATGGCATAGGGAGACTTATAAGGGAACCAACCTAACCCTAACCCAGGTGAATTCCAGTTCAACCCAAATGACGCTAGAAATTTCAATTCGATTTGTGTAACCTAGGAATCATATACAAATTTCAACCAGGGAATTAAACCCAAATTTTGGCCTGACTTGTATAACTCGAGTTCAAAAATGTAAGAATGGGTAGTACTCAGGTTGAAGAGTTCCGTTTGATTCAGTCTGAGTTTTTTAATTTGGGAATGAATCCAGGTTGACCTGTCGAATCCATTGAACCCACATTGCACCCTTTCAAATTTTGTTTCTATAAAGATTGTTGATTTGAGTGTTGAAATCCTTGAACACTTTATTCAGATAAACACCACGCTTGGGTGAATGCTGAGTTCTTACTGGAGAAGTGCCTCGTCGGTACTTTGGATGATAGCCAGTGAAATGCAACATATTTACTGTAATCAAGAGATTCTCTGCCCCGTACATCATTCCCAGCATATTTGGCTTGACAAAAAGACAAGCAGCATCATTTTTAATTTAAACTGTAGAGATTAAAACCTGAAGGGGACAATTGTTGAAATTAAAACTTGAAGGGGTGAATCGCAAACTACCCAAAGGTGAATGGGTGTCCCTAACTGTTGGAATAATAAAGTGAATTGCCATAATTTTTTTTTTTTAAATAAAGGAGGAACCTCCTTAAGGCAGGTTACATTGGATTCATTCTTGTATTTGTATGAGTAAAACTCTGGATATTTGTACTAACAAACAAATCATAGATATCATATATATGTTTGGGAGACACCAAAGAGGATTGAACTTGAGTCATCTTGGTTTATAGTTCGTCAAAGTTTAACCCCATAACTTTATCGGGCTCGCAGCAGTTGTGTTTATAGTTGGTTGTCCTATTATGAAGTAGGCAGAATTGTGTTTTACATTCTGAAAGATTTAAGAATTTTTATTTTATATCCTCAAAGATTAAATTTTTTTATATTATATCCTGAATGTATCAAAAGTGTTGCAATGTAATCTTTTTGTTAGATTTCGTTATTTTTTTCATCAGTGTTAATAGAGTGGTTTTTGACAAAAAAATAATAGAAGCTAACGTGAGGGTCACATTTTAATATTTTTGATACATTGAGAGTACAAAGTAAAATTTTTTAAATTTTTAAGGTTACAAAGTATAATTTGCCCTAAAATTTGAGGGCAAAACTTTGATTAATAATCACCCTCTTAAAAAACAAGAAATTTTTTAAATTTAAAATTAAAAAATAAAAATACTTCATTTGTCGTCGATCTTATAGGGTTTGAAATCTATCAAGCCACTCATAATGGGTTAATTGCGAAATTTGGAGAACTACAAATCAAGCAAAAGATGAGGGAGACAACCAAATATGAAGATCTATTTGTAGACGGATAGCACGAGTATGATATAACCAATATGTAATATTTAAGATATATTAGATGCTTAATTACCCAAGAAGTAATTACGTGGCTCCATTTTGCAACATTGAACATCTTAACTATGATATTACCTTGTAAATTTAAAAAATTGAAATAAAATGCATAAAATATGAAATAAGATAAATATTAAGTCAAACAAACTATGCNCGACGGATAGCACGAGTATGAGATAACCAATATGTAATATTTAAGATATATTAGATGCTTAATTACCCAAGAAATAATTACGTGGCTCCATCTTGTAACATTGAACATCTTAACTATGATACTACCTTGTAAATTTAAAAAACTGAAATAAAATGCATAAAATATGAAATAAGATAAATATTAAGTCAAACAAACTATGCTATAATCACATAGGCCTATAAGGGCTTGCAGAATGATAATAAAACAGGAGTACCAGGCAGACACTATACATGGGTGCTAATGTAGAATCGACAACAAAACCATAAAACACTCTTGAATGTTTTTCCAATTAAAGAAAAAAAGGCTTACTAAGGTGAATGAATGGGTTTCACAAAAAACCATCATGCTCACAAAACTATCATAAGCAGATATAGTTGCAAAAAAAAAAAAAAAATTCTATAAATCTTGATGCAAAAACCACCAAAAGATCTCCCAAAGTACCTACGACAGAGTTATGTCATGATTTCTTAGCAGACTATAACCGCACCAGATTCAATGGCGAGATTTCTTTCCCCTCTTTTGTGGTTGCCTACCTATGACAAAATTGTAACNGAAGGTGAATGAATGGGTTTCACAAAAAACCATCATGCTCACAAAACTATCATAAGCAGATATAGTTGCAAAAAAAAAAATTTACTTTTGATGCTCTGCATCCTAGTGTTGTAGCTAGTTGCACTCCTCTTTGNAAAGTACCTACGACAGAGTTATGTCATGATTTCTTAGCAGACTATAACCGCACCAGATTCAATGGCGAGATTTCTTTCCCCTCTTTTGTGGTTGCCTACCTATGACAAAATTGTAACAAACAAAACATTGAGTTAAATTACAAATTTTGAAATATGAAAACAAAATTTACTTTTGATGCTCTGCATCCTAGTGTTGTAGCTAGTTGCACTCCTCTTTGATGACTGATAGTAGACTTTGAGCAAGAACTTTGGCACAAGGAGCTCGACAACTTGGTGTACAACCAAGGTCACACCCTATTGACAATAACAGTGAGGAAACTAGAAAAGAAAGTGAAAGAGTTGGTTCGGCAGAACCGAAAACTCTTGCAAGTGCTTACTGCATAACAACCTGAGAGAAACCTGTTCAGGTTTAGGACCATTGCGATGAGAATCAGGAAAATTATTCTATTGGACCTCTCTATTTTTTTCTTCTAATAAGCGCGATGTTGGGGAGANAAAAAGAAAGTGGAAGAGTTGGTTCGGCAGAACCGAAAACTCTTGCAAGTGCTTACTGCATAACAACCTAAGAGAAACCTGTTCAGGTTTAGGACCATTGCGATGAGAATCAGGGAAATTATTCTATTGGACCTCTCTATTTTTTTCTTCTAATAAGCGCGATGTTGGGGAGAATATTGTGTCATATCTAGGTCACAACAATAAATTAAGTCTTATTGTTTTATAATTTTAATTTTTTTTTAATTCCAAGAATTATTATTTTCTTATTATAGAAGAGTTTGGTTGATTTATAAATATGACAATTAGAAAATAAATATTTGTATAGCAAAAAATTTTGAATAAGAGAAAATTTTAGAAACTATTTAAATTTAAAAAAAAAAGAATTAAATATATTTTTTTTACTAGTAACAAACACACCATAATAACAAATTTTTGATTGGTAAAAGAACAAGAATAGATCTCACAAAATTAGAAGGATTAGGTGGATTAGTCATGTGATCAACCGAAAAGACACATGTATAAAACTCGACTAATTATTACCATCTCAAAAAAGCAAGATTTTTTTTCAATTAATTAAAAAAAAATTCATTTAATGTCGTGGTGAGTCTCAAAGTGTATCAAGCCACCCTTGATGTGCTATTTGAGAAATTTTGAGAATTGCAGGACAAGTAAGAATATTTAGATCTGTTTGCTAAAAAAAATGTACTTAATAATAATAATCTATATATATCTATAATTACTATGGATAGTATCATATAAGCTTGGGAGACACTAAATAGGATTGAACCTCACTCATCCTAGTTCATGGTTGGTCTAAGTTTAACCCCATCACTTTACCAGGCCTGAAACAATTGTGTTTAACGGTTTATTGTTGGTTGTCCTATTATGAAATAGAGAGAATTACACTATACTCTAAAAAATTTAAGAATTTCTATTTTACATTCTCAAAGATAAAATTTTTTGTATCACACCCTTAATGTATCAAAAGTGTTGTAATATGACTTTTTTGTTAAATTTTGTTATTTTTTTTTAAGTGTCACTGGAGTGGTTTTTTACGAAAAAAATAATAGAAACTACCAGAAGAGTTGTATTGTAACACTTTTGGTACCTTAAAGGTATAATGTGAAAAATTTTATCTTTGAAGGTACAAAGTAAAATTTTTTAAATTTTTCACGGTACAAGTTATGGATTGGGTGATAAACATGCGATTTTGGGTATTACATGTAGGACTGTCAATGAGTCGTGTCAAGTTCTTGTTGTATTGTGTCAAAAATTGTTTAACTCATATTCAAACTCATTTATGTTTGTATACAGTCGAATTTGTGTTGGGTATATGCCACGTATAAGTTGTCGTTAGTTAGTTTGCGCTGTTAGTTAAATTTCGTGCTAACTTTTTTATTTGATGAGTTTAACGAGTCTCTTTATTTATCACCTGGATCCACTCTCAACCCAAATTTGTAATTTATATCAAGTTCGCGAGTCAGTCTCTAAAACTAACAAGCCTAATTACTTGATGTGGTTTATGTTTTCTCGAGGAACCAGGCCTGCTGCAGGTGTATCAATTTGTAACACGAAGTTTGGTTTAGCATCCGTGGGACGGTTGAGTAGACAGAGATTTGGAAGGCCTGGTTCCTCGAGAAAACAAATTATCAGTTATAATAACAAATTATAAGTTGGTAAATGAACAAGAATACATCTCACAAAATTAAGAGGATTAGTCATGTGATCAATTGAAAAGATGCATGTATAAATCTTGAATAATTATCACCATCTCAAAAAGCAAGATTTTTTTTTTCAATTAATTAAAAAAAATTCATTTAGTGTCGCAGTGAGCCTCAAAGTGTATCAAGCCACCCTTGATGAGCTACTTGAGAAATTTTGAGAAATGCAGGACAAGTAAGAATATTTAGATCTATTTGCTAAAAAAGTGTTTTTAATCATAATAATCTATATATATTTATAATTCCTATGGATAGTATCATATAAGCTTGGGAGAATTTTGTTATTTTTTTCGTAAGTGTCACTGGAGTGGTTTTTGATGGAAAAAATAATGGAAGTTAATAGAAGAATCACATTGTAACATTTTTAGTACCTTAAAGGTACAATGTGAGAAATTTTATCTTTGAAAGTATAAAGTGAGAATCCTTAAATTTTTTAAAGGTTCAAAATGCAATTCACCCTATGAAGTATTACAAGTTTTGGACTGGGTGATAAACATGCGATTTTGGGTATGACAGGTAAGACTGCCAATGAGTCGTGTCGAGTTCTTGTCGTATTTATGACGTATTGTGTCAAAAATTGTTTAACTCATATTCATACTCATTTATGTTTGTATACAATCGAATTCGTGTTCGGTATATATCACGTATAACTTGTCTTTAGTTAGTTCGCGTTGTTAGTTAAATTTCGTGCCAACCTTTTTATTTGATGAGTTTAATGAGTCTCTTTATTTATCACCTGGATCCACTCTCAACCCAAATATATAATTTTGTGTCAAGTTTGCGAGTCGTCTCTAAAACTAACAAAGCCTAATTACTTGATGTGGTTTAACATCCATGCGACGGTTGAGTAGAAAGAGATTCAAAAGGCAAAACTTTACGCAATTTATCATTTTTCTAAGTGAAAATTCTTCTCATACAAGTTGTTCTATCTTGTTTGGTCAGATATTTACAAATGGTCGCAAGCTAAACCAATATGCTCCGCCCGAGGAATGAAAGAAAAAATGAAAAGGGTCATAAAAAATGAATGGGAGGAATATGTCTTCCAATCTTGCTTTGAGATAATTTCCTCAGTAGTTTCTCAAGAACTTTTTAAGTTTCTTAGCAAAGTTAGTAGTACAATTGGTTAAGTGAAATAAATTTGGTATTATTTTTTTATTTATCACATTTATAAATATTTTTATTACTGTTGTGAGTGTTTTTATTACTGTTGTGGTACCGAAAAAAGTGACAAAAATAGTTACTATAACAGTAATAAAAATATCCACAACAATGATAATTTTTTTTTTGTACAGGGAAAAAGTGCTAAAAATAATTCCTACAATAGTGGTAAAAACACCTCAAAAGTGATAAATTTTTTTGTCTAAAAATGATTTACAAAAATTATAAACACACCCATTAAATAGTCAATTTTGGAACTACGGCACCGAATTTTTTTCATCGGTACCGTAAAATCCAAATTGATATTGTAGAGTAGACCAATTTAGAGTATCTCTAATCTTGACTCAAATTGAAATTTGAATCAAAATGGCCAAAAAAATTTCTCCAACCTTGGACTCAAACTCATACCAAATCAAGACAAAACTTATTCTTGACTCAAATTGAAGTAGACTCAAATTTTATATTAAATTTTTAACGGTAACTTTTTAACCTATCCAAAATTAAAAGACTTATTTGACTACTTGTTTATTGTCTTTTCTTGCCTTTCTCTACGACACTGCTTCCATCGCCGACTACCACCGAAACTTTCACAAATAATTTGAGGGCTTGTAGATAAGTTTTTTGTTTTTCATCTTCCATCTTAACTTTTTATATTTTTCAAAACCCTAATCTCACTCATCTTTCATACTGCATAAAACTTAAGCTTACCCATGAAATTTTTCTTTGATTTTTTCGAGTTAAATACTATCAGTAGTACAATTTTAAACTACCGATTCTTCTTGAAATTTTAAGCTTTCGGTACCCACAAATTTAGAAAATTTGTCATTTTATTTCTTCAATCATCCATTTTTGTTAAAAAAAAAAAGGTATATTTTTGTGTTCTTCAGACCATGCTCATGTTAACTATTTTTTTTTCTTCATCTAGATTTATTAAAAATGATAAGGAATTAGAATAATTTTAGAATTCTCGGGTGTTTTCTTTATTTTCATATAGTGTTATATACATATTTATTTTTTTTTAATTATCCATTTGTGGAGGGATGAAAGTTTTATTTATTTTATGAAATATTATGATTTGAATGACACAAAAAACAAAAATTGGGATAATAAAATTTTAAAAAATTTGAATAGATATCGGAGTTTGCCCATTNTATTTTTTTTTAATTATCCATTTGTGGAGGGATGAAAGTTGTATTTATTTTATGAAATATTATGATTTGAATGACACAAAAAAAAATTGGGATAATAAAATTTTAAAAAATTTGAATAGATATCGGAGTTTGCCCATTGAATTACTCTATACAAAATCAAGTTTTTTACTCAAATTTAGACTTAAATTTAATTCTAAATTTAAGTTATGATTGAAGATGCTCTTACTCAGCTTCATTTTGTTCATTCCTAGATCTGCAAGGTCATTAAAACTACACTGATAGCTGCCCAAATCGCGTGTCCTTTGGACTTGTGATTACAACGTAAATTCAAAATAAGTGCAACCACCTATCACCAACACAGATTACATCAACAAGACATCTTTTACAAGAGTCAAACTTGAGAACTCGGATAATAAGGTCTTTCCATTCAGAGTTGAAGCTGCCTTGATGGGTGCTGACGAGTCTCTCTTAGTGACACCATATCAAACACCAAATCATACAAGCAACTGAAAGTAGGCATTTTTAATAATTCAAGCAGTTTCATAGTCCGAACATACGCTTCATCAACGGCCAGTTTACAAAAGCAGGATCAATTGACCAGACACAGCAACTCTATAGTTAAGAACTAAACAGTATCCTATTTTGGATTACACCATTTAAGCCACATGAAGAACACTAACTTGATCAATAACAGGGCCACAGAGAGATCCATAGTCGTCAACCCTTGTGTGGTAAAACGAACTGAAGAAAGTTAATCTGGTCCGGGCTGAAATTGCTGTGAACTTGAAGCTAACAGTTTTGAACTCACCCTTTCCCCGGGATGTGAAGGGAGCTTTCAGAGTATCTTTTGCAGCAAATGCTTCCACCATCATCGATCCATGGCAACCATTCTTTGCGTCCCCTACAGTGAATGTACAATTGTAAACTTTGTTGGGGACTGTTCGGATGATTTGGGCAATGGCACTTTCTCTCCCTGCAACCAATTCAATGGCTGCAAGTCCAAAGGGGACATTGAAGTGCTTTGAATCTATGAACTTGACAGCTTTGAGGGATTCAATGATCCAGCCAGGAAGTGGGGACATGAGATCTTCCTGTTTGGGTGGGAGGAGCACTCCATTGGAAGAGTTCATGAATCGATGGGGACCCTCCTCGAAACCACTGTTCTTGATCAAATTACCTGCAAGAAATCATCAAGAAAACAGATCAAAACTAAGGGAAGACATCAGAAAATCCAGATTATACAGGACAGAAGGTTTCCGATATGTGTGTTAGCAGTATGGATAATGTTTGAGCTTTCAAGTTCCTCCAAATTTTACTGGATTTTAAGAATCAGCCAAAAGTAAACACAGAACTGGGGACAGGAATACAAAATACATGTTAGATCTGAAGTACCAATTAGCGAATGGGGCAGATAAGCGAACACACACACACACACATTGGGGATCAATTACTCACAAGGAACAAATTAATTACATTAGAGACTAATACACTTGACGAATCAAATAAAACTGTATCTAGAGCATCGAAATGTGAATGTTTCTAAAACATTGAATAAACCCCAGACGAGTTGCCTAACTGGTTTTCTTCCTCAGTGACATATTAGGACAACTTTATAATCCAGTTACATGACTGAGAGGAATGGATTTTTCTATGGTGATTTTCTGCACCATATCGATAGTTACAACCTAATGGTCAAGTTACGACTCAAACATACCAAGACATGACTAAATGGGATCGGTTTGGAATCGAATCAAAAAACTTGGGTCGATCCCACCATTTTAGGAATGATCCACTTTTCTGGACCCAATTGATTAGCAACTTTGACCTCATTGGATTGTCTGTAACTTTTTTCTGAATGTTGCCAAAAAAAACCCTTTTGGTACCATATATTTTCGGAGAGCGCTATATCAAAAACAACCACTTAAGTTCCAAAACAGATGAAACAAAGCCGAAAAACCAAATGAACAATCCAGACCTCTCAATGCCTCATTCAAGCACATTACAGGACATGGAATTTACCCAAACAAAAAAAAAGAAGTTAGAAACATTAAACCCAGAGAGAGCTCAGATCATAGTCATCACATAAAGACCCATATAATCAATCATCATAACTAAATAAAGCAACAAGCTCAAACAAAAAGACTGTTAATAACTTAAAATCATACCTCTTGTAGGCATTGGATGGAAGAGCTCTTTAATGGCAACAGCATCCAAGAGTGGCCCACAGGTAGGATCCTCTTGAACCCCAGGATTGTGGAAAATCACCTTCACAGCATTAGATTTGGCTATGAACCCCCAAGCATAGGTATCAGCACCATCACTACTATACAGTGTCTGAATAGGAAGGTCTCCTGATTGAGGAGGCACTGAGATTCTCAACACCTCATCTTGTGCACAAGTTCTTGATGCACCAAATGTTAGTGCATAGAGAGACCCATTTTTCACTGGGATTGTCTGAGAGATTGAGGCCTCGTTTCCGAGCCTCACTGCGTGGACGCCGTGGGCCACTGCAAAGTACATTCCACCGGGCTGTGGGCCGCCATGGATGTACTCCACCAAGCCACTGATTTCCCATTTGGGTAGTGAGTATTTTCCTTGGAGTACTGTTTTTTTGAGGTCAGTTGGTTTTGGTTTGGTTTCAAAGTTGCCATTTGGTAAAAATCCTGAAGAAAGAACAAGAATAAAATTGAATTTGAGAGGTGTCACTAAATAAATGTAGAAATTAGCAACATGGTAATGAAGTTAGAATCGAATCAAAAAAAAAAACCCCAAACAAGTGGTTTTGTGTGTGTGTGTGAGAGAGAGTGAATAGAAAGTTTCCACCTTACTTCTTCAATATTTTTACCACAATATCATAATTTCGAACTTATTTACCAAAACTAATTTGTTTTTATGTGGTCATACGTGCAAAACACAATTTGCACTAAAAATGTTTTTGAAAAACACGCTTTCAATGCAAAATATGTTGAAAGTATGATGTGTTTTTCAAAATATGTTTTTGAAAAACACACAAATATGTTGAAAGTGTTCAAAAAAAAAAATGCAAAATATGTTGAAAGTATGGTATTTTCATAAAAAAGTTTAAAAAGTACCATAAATCATAAAAAATTCAGATCAACATTGATGTGAAAATACATAAAGAAAAACCTTGAATAAAGATAAACACATCAGAACTCCATAAACCAGAAGAAGAAAATCCCACATTAGTGACACTCATATACACAACACACACAGAGAGAGAGAGAGAGA